TGGGTATGGGTTAATGTTGGACTTGTGGGCTTGGGCAGCATTGGGTTGGGATGTTTTCGTGATGCACATTTTCTTTGTATAAAACTCTCTCTTATACATGAGTCGCTGTGGATTTGTTTCTCCAAAGTACCTAGACTAATACAACCCCTAAAGCTGGGCAGTTTAGGGACATACAGACTGACTCTGGAAAACCTGGAAGAGGGGGACTGCTCCCCCTCATTCAGAATCCCAGGCTGCTCCTTGTACTTTGAGGGTGCTTTAAGCTCAGAGGGCACCTCCTCCAGAACAGAGGTCCTCCAGGCCCACGGGAGTCCCAGTGGACACATGGCAGTGGGGACCAATGTTTTCCCACCCTTCCTCAGAGGAAGGAGCAAACTCTGGGCCTCAGTGAGGCGTATTCCTTCCACGATGAGGTTAGACTCATTCATCTCAAAATAGTAGCCTTTACTCAGAGATTTAAGGCCTTACTGCTACATTGACGAGAAAGCAGCTTCTTTTACTAAAATGATGGTGAGGATAGTTGTTGTTCCCCCACCCACCCACCTAAATATACTTATTTGGCACAAGGAAAACCTTGGCTACTCTGTTCATCCTCCCACCCCCAAGTTTCCTTGGATAGTTTATAGGGTTTGAAATCCTAAAGTCTGGGAACCACTGTTCCTTTAGGTTAAGGTTCCAACCCCTTGCCCTGCTTCCTGGAAGCAGGGGATGGGCCGGCCAAGCAGGGAGCTTAAGGGTTTGAGGAGATAAAAGGGAGGGAGGTGGGGATTGAGTTTAGGCAGCCACAGCCGCATGGAAATGGACTAAAAGCCTGATGGGGATACCAAGGCCACAGGTAGGAAGCAGGAGAAGAGGGGGCCCTGCCCTGCAGGGGTCCTTGGCTGGTGCTGACCTCGTCGAAACAGAGTGAGCTACAAGGTGGTGCTGTGTGAGCTGGAATGGCCAGGCTGGATTTCCGGAGGAGGCAGCCTTTGCTTGGCCCTGGAAGACTTGCTGCGGGACTTGGAGACACAGAGAAGGACCAAGGAGGTCGAGCTTGTCCTCCGACTTGGCTACCCCGGATGCCATCGTTCCCATCAACATCCGCACAGTCACTTCATTATGCCCAATGGTGACCACACGCCCGGACATCCCATGACCTCGTTGAATCCAGAGACCAACCCTATGACATAGGCAAGATCTTCATTTTACAGACGACGAAGCTGGAGCTCAGAGAGGCGGAGTTCAGGTGCGCAGAGTTGCCCAGGGTGGAAGTAAGAGCATCAGGATTCTAAATGTAGGCAGTCTGACTCCGGAGCCCCAACTCCTAAGTGCGGGGCTCTAGGGTTCCTTTCCAAAAAAGCAAACCAAACTCCCTGCCGTCGACTTGAGGCTGAGGCTGACTCATAGCGACCTTGTAGGACAGGGTAGAACTGCCTCTTTGCGTTTCCAGGACTAGAAGGCCCTTTCTCCTGCAGAGCGGTGCGTTGTTTCGAACTGCAGACCTTGTGGATTGCAACCCACCATGATGCCACCAGGACTCCTCCAGCGTTCCTTCCATGAGGACTCCTAAAATTCCTTTATGTGCTGCCTGCTTTGGGCAGAAAACGCCGATGACGAAGCTGTCCCCTCCTTTCTAGGTGGCCTGTGTTACGTGGTCTGTGGGACTTTATGGAGTAGCCCAAGGCTTCTGAGGGATGAGAGGGCCCAGAGTCGCTGTTGAGCCAGACAGACCTCAATGTGCACTCTCTCCAAGGAGCCCCGGCTGTGGAGTAGTTACTCATTGGGCTCCTAACAACAAGGTGGGCAGTGGGAAACACCGGTCCCTCCTGGAGAGAAAGATGAGGTTTTCTACCATGGCTAGGAGTTACAGTCTCAGAAACTCGCCGGGGCAGTTCTACCCTGACTTTAGGGTTGCTAGGAGACTGATGGCAGTGAGTTTGGGGGAGTTTTTGGTCTCCTGGGCTCGCTCTAGGCTGCCTACTCTGAAAAGGATCAGCTTTCCCACCGAGACAGTGGGCTCCCAAACCCACTGCCACTCATCCATTTTCAACTCAGAGTAGAACTGCCCAAGAAGCTTCCAAGGCTCTAATCTCGACAGAAGCCAGGCACCATAGCT